GCAATTCAAGAACACCACTGCCATATGTATTTGTCCAGCTCCCACTGATTTCAGTTAAACATTTACACTTTTGAAGATTGGGATATACTGTGCCTAGCACTATCAGCGTAAAAGGGTTTAGAGGAGAAACAGTGGTTTTAAGTGTCCGCTTTGGAAATGTAGACTGCCAGAAGTCCCTGCTTAGCCCAGAAGGAACTTGAATGTCCTCCTATAAGATTAAATGTCTGTGGCTGGGAGTTTGCAGGGACACCTGAGCAGCAGGTGCATCATTTATACTTAAGCCTTTGGGACTCACAGCACTGCCTTTTGCCTGCCTGCCTTGTCAGCAGGGCGGGCTCCATCTGGCAGTTGCAGCCCATACAAAAGAGAAGCAGGAGGAGGATGGAGGGGTCCCTTGTCCTTTTCTCAGCACAGCACAGCACAGCATGACAGCCTGGGCTTTTATATGTGCATGTAATCTTGTGTGCCCACGTGGGTATATACTGTTGTTTTCAGCTTTGTACTTTTATTCTGGATAACCCCAGTGAGTAGAGGCCCAAGTGCCCTGTTAGGCTGGCCCAGCCCTGTGGCACCCTGCCCACCCGAGGGCTGTGGTGTTCTACCTGCCATGGTGGCACCCAGGTTACTCTGTGTTTCTGCTCTCTGCCACCCCTGAGAACCTCAGCTGCTTCCCCACAGGTCGCCATCGCAGGCTGTGGCTGAAGCAAATTGCCACAGGGCAAACCCACTTGGGCAGGGCTTCACTGCCAGGCAGGGCTGCCCACACACCGAGAGCAGCCCAGCAGTCAGTGAGAGAGGCTGTGGCACAGGCACCACAGGAGGTGCAGGTGCTCTGATGACCGCATTAAGCCCATTATGCTGCATTAATTAACGCAGAAGGTCAGTGTAGGATACTAAGTGTTGATGGGGAAGACCTGTGATGCTCTGGGCCCTACCCGGGCCAGGGGAGGCTCCAAGGAGTGGCTCATCAGGTGACAAAGGTAGGCTTGGGGTGTCCCAGGGTTATGCTCAGTATTTATTTTACAGGGAAACTGCAGTTGTGGATGGAGTGAGTGCTGGCCAGGGTTTCAGGGCACAGGGTGGCCTGGGTGCCAGCCCGTCTGCCCTCAGGAGAGCCTTTCCTGCCAGGCACAGCCTCCCTCCCTCCCTCCCTCTGGGCAGGCCTTACTCCAGCAGGCCCTGAGCAGGCTCAGTTGCTGGCATTTGCCTTGAGGAAGACAGTAGCAACATGTACCTGCCCCCCTGGAGTGTCCCGTTTCCAACAGGGCCACTTGTGTGGTTTGAGCCCAGTGCTGCCCTGCTGGCTGGGATGGGCAGCTGGGGAGGCAGCGTGGACACAGCCTGGGTGGCGAGAACGTTCTTTGTGGGAAGAAACTCAGGTGTTTTTATTGGTTTAAGTGTGTCTCCTGCCAGAGCATGTTGCAATTTACTTGGTTAAGTGTCTTGGGGCACTGGTGCTGGGCTGCAGCTCAGGCTCAAACTGCCACAAAATGTCCATGCGTGGCTGCATGGGAAGGTGTTCCCACCTCCCCAGCCCCTCTTGCAGGAGTGCCAGCTGCTGGCTTAGGTGAAATGCAGCTACCTGTGGAGGAAAGACATGGCTTTAAGGTGGGGAATTGAAATGAAGAAGAGGAAAAGAAGATTTATCTGGGGAGAATCAGAACAGGCTACTGAGAGGCTGCAGTGCAAGTCTGAAGATTGGAAATATCTCTCTCAATGTTATTACTGCTTGCCATTAAAAATGCATTATGCATATTACATTACATTCATGAAGCAGGTTCCATACCTTTTGTTTGCCAGAGTAACAGTAGAAAGGGTAAGGAGAGACGCTGGAGCACACCTTTGTTTCTTTCTGTAAATTTTTAATGACACCTCTAGCTAACCAGTTGGTGAAGCTCAGTTCCTGCATAAAAGTGGAAAGGCAGAGCTATCTACAGGGCAACTAAGCCTTTCAGAAGCTAATTTGAGCTTGTGTTCATCCACGCCAACAATGATTAAATTACCTATCAAGTGTGCAGAGCTATCAGAATTCAGGGCATTGAAAAACAAGGTGAATTTATCTGATTGATTTAAAAGACATGGGTGGAACAAGTGGGTTATAAAAAGAAAAGGTCTATTCCTTAAAGATATTATAAAAGTACTTCTCCTGGCAAGCTGATGAATTTGTTACTTTGCTTCCAAAAGTCGTTTTGCCTGCTCAGAAAAAAAAAAAAGTAGTTGGAATCAAAATGCTTTATCCAAATCAGTTAGCAAGCTGAATTAATTGATGAGGCAGAAACAAAGCAACTTATTAGGTTCCATCCTTATGCCAAGCAGAGATGTTTAAAATTAAAATATGCAAACATCATCTGTGTTTTCTATATCATCAGTTTTCAAAAGCCGATAGTAACACTCAGATTGGATATTGCAACACACGTGAGAGAGCAGCTCTTCTGGGTCTTGCTCCTTCCTCAAGCAAAACTTTTGTTGCAGTTGATGGGGTGGAGGAAGAGGTTTCTAGAATAAGCCCTGGGTGAAAGATTGCAAGACTTGTGTAACTATTTGCAAGCTGTGCTGCTCTTGCACATTGACAAAGGTGTGCTCCTCAAGTCTGCATTTTCCATCCTTAAGAGACAAAAACCAAACAGGTCAGTTGTGTCAAATTCATCTCCAGCATTACCCCAGTTCACATCAGGAATGGATTTTGCCTTTACTATATAAGATCTGGGCCCTACTCTAAACTTAATAGTGAAACATAGCTCAGCACACAGTCCTTTGAGTGAATTGTGATTTAGAAAAGCACTGAAATATGCATGTAAGTCAATGGAGTGCTTCTCTAGCAGAGACCTTATTAGATGCTTCCTCAGAGTCAAAATTCCAGAGATTTTCCCTGCTGAATCCTAGAGCTCACTCCATTGCCAAGCCACATCCTGTATGTCTGTTTTCACCTGCAGTGGAAGTGGCTGCTGAGAATGCCAAGGGTAATTTTTTTTTTTACTTGTCAGTAGGATAGTGGTAGTTTC